CCTGCCTCTTGTTTCACTGAGACTCTGCACAGGGTTTTAGCTTTAGTGTTTATTAAAGGCTACGCCATATTCATCATTTTTCCATCGATCCGTGGATCACGTGCCTTGAGGGGTAATCAAAATGGGTCACGAATTAAGCCTGATTCGTTTCACCACTAATTTCTATTATGGCCACTGCCAGTGTGGGGCTTCATTATGCCTCCTTACAAACCAAGGGGTGACTACATCCACCTTTTAAACAGTCTTTGCTTACATGGCAGCATTCACCATCACTGTTTAAATGTGTGTGTGTGTGTGTGTGTGTGTGTGTGTGTGTGTGTGTGTGTGTGTGTGTGTGTGTGTGTGTGTGTGTGTGTGTGTGTGTGTGTATGTGTGTGTGTGAGAATGGGAAAATGTGTAAAGTGCTTTGAGTTGTTAAAAGGCTGAAAAGGAACTTTATACAGTTTGTGTGGCAATTGTGAATTAAACCATTAAATACATTCCCCGTTTCAAATGGATCCCCTGATGATGTTTATTAATTGCGGAAAATTGGGAAAAATTGGGAAAAAAGACCATTTTGGCTTTCCAGTCCAGCTGGAGCCGTCAAGCAGCAATTAAATCCTAAACCCTCACAGTAGGTCAGCAGGACACATTTCGGCAGCTCATCCTATAGAGTCGTGTGGTTAGGCATGAGGATTCCTCGCAGCACAGCAGGAAAGTTGGGGCATCTGTTGCCGTGTTTTCCTGCTAAAAGCAGTGATTAAAAAAATGCCACTAACCACCCACAGAAACAGCTCAAACTGCTCTTCACATTCTCACTACCCTTTTCTCTCTCCTTCTTTGACAACTACTCTCTCTGATTTGTCATTCAGGGCAGATCAAAGCCACAGTTGTAGTTGATAGGCTTAGAACCAACACCATTAAATATCCCCACCTGATTAGTGCAAGGTAGTCTGTCACATGACACAAGCAGACTCTGGGTGTTAACAGATAAGCAGAGAAAGTCTCACATCATTATACAAGCCAAGTTGTAAAAACTCAGGACAATGTGGACTAGATGTTCATTGTTCTGATATAGAGGATTAAGGCTCAATCTAATAAAGAGCATTAGAAAGGGCATTAAAAGCACCACTGATGTATTTAAATCAGAGACGCACATACCCTAGAAGCAGTATCTGTTGTTATTGATCACGTGACCTATTTCCAGCAGCCAGGCACTATCAATGACCTTCAAATGTCTATATGTTACCACCTGCTGACACCACTTGCAGCCAGACGTTTTGCGGTCATTCAATATGAGATCAATATTAGTTCAGTGCAAGCTCATAGAGAAAACTAATAGAGGATAACAGACCTTTATTATTTTGTATAACACGGAGTGATGGATGAAGTCAAGTGAAAGTGAAGACAGATTGAGAAAACACAGAGACAACAAAGCACAGAAGGAATATGGCTAAAAAAGAGAAAGTGGGGAACAAGAGTGTTTACTGTCTTGTCTCACTCCAAAATATCTAGACTGTCACATTTCTCTTCCAGCACTCTGGTAATCATTTCCTCGTTGCTTATATTGCCTTCTGTTTAGAGTTTTTTCACCCCCAGAATTTTGAGCGACACATAGTAAGCCTTTAAACCATTAACTAAACTGCACTTCTGTGCTATTCTCCAACTCCACATAAAACCACAATGATTAAAGATGATGAGCTCTCCTATCTATTGTGCACTGGGATTAGACAGAGATGGATGAGGCAAAGTGGCACTGTACAATCTTCACATTTAGTCATCAAGATCAATTATCACAAGTACAGACAGACCCGTACTGGACTTATGATGCCATCACAAATGTCAGTGTTTGACAAGTTAAAAAAAAAAAAAAATGACAACCCAGTTATTTTACAGACAAATATTTAATGAAGATCTCTTTATATGAGCTTTTTCCAAAGGTACTGATCAAGATCTTTATGTAGCAGGACATTTAGCAGCTGGCATAATACTCTGTATGTATAGGTAGATGTGTACTGTGAGGGTTAAACTGCTTTTGATATTTAAACATTCATGTATAACAATTAATTTAGCCTCTCCACATGTTATAGCAATATAATAATAATAATTGTATTTCTAACGCACTTTACATTTAAAAGAAACTCTCAAAAAGCTACAATTTCAAGATAACCATCAAAACAATAGCACTAGTCAAAAGGTAAAATCTGAGGGGTTTTTTTAGAGCATAAAACAAGATCTAAAAATGTCTTATAAGCCAGTTCTCGCAGATTTATCAAACTAGTAATACTTACATGCACTTAAAAATGGGGGTTAATATCAAAATCACTGTGATTTTACACTCTCTCTTTAAAGATAACATACTTTGTTTAATTATCTGTTAGTTAAAAAAAATCTAATTTAAAATTCAAATGCATAGAGAGGTATCTGTAGGAAAGACTGGTGTTGACAGTCATAATTTGCTGGTAGTGGAGGCATGTCAAAGGTTACAGCTTTAGCTTTACACCAGCAACACTGGATCTGTAGCATGCTGAGCTGTGCCTGCACTGCAGACTATATGTACAGTAACATTCACCTATGTGTCATGTGCATTGCATAATTTTGCACTACATAATGACTTAAGGTTACATACAGCATGCAACATGTCGTGTCCTGCATGAAAGTCAATGTATTATGATTCACTGGACTAATGGAGGTCGTTTGTACAGCAAGTACTATTCAATCGTAATTCTTATTCCTCCCATGACAGCTCTGCAACACGCGTAAATAAGGACGGTAACGTTATGCATGTATTGATTTCACATCCCGGTTAAACTTGAAGTAGGTGTAAGCAGGAAGGTAAATCGATCACATAGAGGTACCTGTCGTTGCCTGTCACCACCCTAAACGTCGGCTAGCTCCACGGTTGCCATGCAAACCGGTGACAGCCAAGCCGCAGCCGCCGCATGGGGCACGGTCTGCTAACGTGGTGTTGAGGGTTTACTTTATGGAGCTAGCTTGAAACGTTAGCCACTACTCAGCGACACAACACACCAAACAGACACAGATAACATCAACACAACACATTACCAAATTCCTTTCAATTATTGCGACGTTTAAGCCCCCAAAAAACTACCTTCAAGATAAGCAGCTCCAGCTCACTCTTCCAGTTAATGCTACGAGAGCTCCATTAGCTGTTAGCACAAGTTAGCACATAAAACATACTCTAGTTGAAAAACGTTCGCTAAAAATAGAAACTTATCTTGCTCGTCGTGTTGGCGTGGTAGTAAGACAGCAGAAAATGTCCAACTTACTCTGTGTCGACCAGCTAGGCGCTCATGCAGTTGTTCTGGAGCTTCATTTCCAGTCCAGCATCATAGTGGAGAGACAGTGGGGGGTTTAGGGGAGCAGCAGCGGACTGAGGCGGACGACTGGAGTCGGCTGGAGGAGAAGTTGCTCCGTTCCAACATGGAGAGCTTGGAGCGGACTGGATCCCCCTGCTGCGGTTCATGTGGCTGCTGCTGCTGCTGCTGCTGCACGGGCAGCCCAGGCGACACCTGTGGCCGCAGCAGCGTACAACACCTGCTGCATGGAACTGTAATGCAGATATTAACCATGGCCATTCAACGTTTTATTGAATTTTTTTTTTTTTTTTTTTTAAAGAACAAGTACTATTATAAGCAGAAATCATGTTAAGTTATAAAAAAGTGAAAGTACTTTTTATTCTGCAAAATGGACTCTGACAGTGTTAAAAACATTGGAATAGTAATAATGATGCGTTAACAAATATATAGCACCTTTCTCTCTGTTTGAGGTTTATTGGTTAATTCTGAATATTTTAAAAGCTGCTCATTTGATTTGATACAAAAAAATGTAAATACATATTCGAATGGTGGAGCTGCCTAATAGGCCTATCTGAAGATGTCAGCCTGTAAGTGTTAGATGAAGAGACTTAGTTTTTCTTACAAAAATGTTAAAGTGGAAGTACAAAGCTTACAGAAGCCTGTACAGCACTTTAATAGAACACCTGTACTCACCTGAAACAGTTTTGTATTTTCATAGACAGCTGGACAAAAAAACAACCTAATATGGCTTCAATGAGAAGCTGCAATGCCCTGGTTTAATCCATTATGGTGGATTTACCGGCTCATAAGCATTTGAGCTCATCATTAAATTTGGATCACCCAGTTTTCTTTTGTCCTATTTTAATTTGTATTTGCAGGTTGTTTAGCTGTCGTAACAGCTCCAGCTCTGTGTTCACTGTTTAGTCCAACATAGGAGACTGCAGTGCAGCTCAAATACGAAGTCTTTTTTTTGGAGCCAACGTTTGCATCTGAGAGACATAAAATAAAAATGGTGAGGAGGAGTGGAGGGCTGAGATGGAGGGATGGAGACATGGAGGAAGTGGGGGTGGGTGGAGGGCAAACTGCATAAGACGAGAGAAACGTCAGGCGAATTGAAGCTGACACTCTGACAATTTCTTATATTTCCAGCTAGCCAACAGTGCCCACAGTGTGCAAAATGATTGCCCTTAAAAACACCTCCATATAGAGCAAAATCCCTTGAGTGTAGGCCTGATGTGAGCGTTAAAATTAGAACTTTTTGAAGTCTGTGTGTAAAAAGCTTCCCCTCATGAAGAAATGGCATTATTTATTCATTCTTTGAGGGTGCACTTAGCTACATGCACCCTCAAAGTTGCTCTGAATAATGCAGAGGTGTACCAGCTCAGCTCTCCTCTGCAGCAGGTCGTTTATTCTGGGTTTTTTGCTTCTTTTGATCTCGCCATTAGTCTGAAACAGTTCAACTTATGTTGCCTAATCAGAACTGTCAAAAGTAGCTGCTTCTCACAGGAACTACAATGTGTGTTTTTAATTATATCTGCTTACTAAATGCTTCACTACACAAAAACTGACTCTGAACAGCTTGGACCTTTGTGACAAAACTAATGATTGTAACTGACAACACAAGGTGAGTGTAAAAAGCTTGAAGCTGTTTGTTTGGGGCTGCACTCACAGACACACTCTCAACACAACACAGCCATACACAAATTTGGAGTTTAAGTTTATTAGCATTTAAATACTATTACATACAGACATACAGGTATCAAACTATTAAATCATTGCTCTTTTTGTGTTTTTGCATTGTACCAGCAGAATAAAAACATTTTGACTATCAGAAATGTTGTGACTATCGGCCATTCTTGTTTTCAAGCACTAAAACATTTTTACGTCTCCCTGAAGGTCAACACATTTCTCAAAACACTACATTTCACCAAAGACTACATCAATTCATAGAACACCAAAGCTTTCATAAAACACTATATGTGAGATTTTTCATTGTGTATTGTGAAATGTTGTCATGCTCAGTGAAATGTTGTAGTGTTTTATAAAATGTTGTTTTGTTTTGACCTGCAGGGGGACTGTATTCATTATGATTCAATATAAATTAAAGGCAGACTTGTTAGCTATACGGTACAGGCAGACCAGACACATCCATGAACTTAGATGTACCTGCCTCATGGAAACTTCTGCCCTTTGGAAGCTGAAAATAAAGCTCAAGCTCCTCTGGAGAGTTTAACATCACAGGAAATGTCCATATATGGACATAAATATGTAGCATCAAGTGACATGACTTTGTTTCTTTGTGGAATGTACAGTGTAGATCAGTGGTTCTCAACTTGATAGCCTCAGGACCCACCAGCAACACCTACATTTGAAAACCAACCCAAATTTCTGAAATGTTTAAACTGATCAGACTTGTTTGATGGAAAATTGTGGATTTTGGATCTCAGAAGGTGCAAAACATGTGACAGATGCAAGAAACTGAACAAAACCAACACATTTGCAAAAAGCTTCAAAGACTTTTTGACTTTTTTGGGTCCCGACCCACCAGTTGAGAACAACCAGTGTAGATGAAAAGGGAAATTATCAAAATACAAATAACGAACATTGCCTCTGACTGCTTAAAGTACACCCGCACTGGAGTTGTTGTTTTTTAAAATACATTTTTTTCATAGGATTACTTCCTGAGTTCCTGTTAAATGTGAACCATCTCTTTATTCTGAAAAACAGAATCACAGTACAATTGTCACATTCAAATGTTGTGTTGAAAAGCAAATTGCTCCTAAGTTTCACAAAGCACAGGCCAAATTAAAATAAACAATCCTTATAAAAAATACATCTCTAGAATCTAAAAAAGTGGACAGTGTAAGAAGATAAATGCATCCAGCGCATCATTTGCTACAGTGCATATACAGATAAATACAAACACTTTGTATTACAAACAACAGAAGTCCTTCATTAAAAAGCATTGCACAGTTCAAATTGGCTTAAAAGGTGCAAAAAACAGTGTCTGGATCATTGGTACAAACATCAGAAGAAAATGTTGTATTAAGAAACAACGGTAAGGTTCCTGAAGTAAGATAAAGACAGCCCTCTGTCTTTTTTCACTTTAAAACTCAGAGTGCCCCCTAGTGGTGACAAAGCATACAGGTTTTGAGAAGGCACCCATTCAAAGACTTAAATCTTCTTTCATACAAGGCCATATTATTTCATCTAAAGTGCCTGTAATAATACCTATACAGCATCTGACATATTACCTGAGTGACAACAATCATCAATAGCACATTTACAGTCGTAAAAAGTCAGAATAAGGGAAAAGGTTTACATAAAATCCAATACGGTCAGTGATTATGTTTTCACACTTGATCATTTTAACAAATAAATACCACAAAATAGAGATTTAAACCATGAAAGCTTTTCTTTTTTCATTTGATTTCTTTACAAATGTCCGATCGCAGTCTTGCTAAGGAAGATGAAGACCAAAGAAGTTTCATGCATTATAGTACCCATTTTTCTTTGGTTCCACATTCTCGTAAATAGAGAGGGCAGCTGTGTTTTGGTAGATAAGATCCACATTGGTTCCAGTTCTCGATCTGATGATGTCTATGGCACACTGGTGTAAGAACACGTACTGGTCCTGCAGGGAGGTGAGATACAAATGTTTACTGAGCTGTAGCACACTCTGGCTTTGACATAGAGAAAGACAAAAAGACAGAATAATTGACTGTGTCCTACCTCTGTCTGAACCATGAGGGGCCTGTGCATGCGCAGGTCATGCACAATGCCAAACACGTCAACCATATTTTCCCTCTCAATCTGGAAGATCAGATGGTCAATGGCTATAAATGTACCAGTTCTACCAACACCAGCACTGCAAAGAGCCCACATAGACAGAATATAAGATTCATTAGTTTCTTAAACAGTTATTTAGAATGAAGACGAGACAATTTGTATCTTTGTAAATAATTCTGAGACCTGCAGTGGACCACAGCAGGAGAGTGTCTGGAGTACTGGTCCATGTGCTCTCTGACCAAATGTCTGAAGCTGATCAGCAGCTCGGTGGTCTCTGGCACCCCGTGATCCGGCCAGGCTGTTAAGTGGAAGTGACGCAACGAGCGGGTCTCTGCAGTCTTCACCTGAAGGACAAACATTAATTTGAATACTCACAACAGTCATGATTGAGCAATTAAAAAGTCTGGACGCTCAGAGGAAGCACAGAGTGCAGGTTTTTTATCAAATGACAGACACAGAAGACAGATTTTTTTATAACAATAATAACAAGATATTTTGCAGGTCCTTGCATGTCCAGATAACTAGAGTACATCAAACAAAACCAGCTTTTTTATTATACGTGACATCTTTCCACTTACATTTTTAAGCCTAAAGTCCCTGATGGTCCAGTCTTTAAGGGGTATTTTAGAAGTTTCTGTCACAATGATGTTTTCATAGTGCTTGGTACCATGTTCCCAGTACTGCTCACATTTTACCTGGAAAAGTCAGAAAACTGTTCAGTTGCAACATACTTTAAGTTCACATATTATCCTCCATTCTACAATTTAAAATAAATCTCAGAGGTCCCCAAAACATGTTTCTTTTCCAAAAAATCCACTCTGATCCTGTATTTTATCATACCAATAAACCCTTCTATTTCAGCCATGCTCAGAACAGGCTATTTCTGTGTCTGTAGCTTTAAATGTAAGCAAGCTTTGTCTGACCACACCCCCTCTCTGGAAAGGCGTGGGTGGCTCAAGCTTTCTTGCATCATGCCCAATTGTTTACGGTGAGAAGGCAGACCCTTGCCGAAAAACACCTGGCTGTGGGAGTGTCACCCACCTGGGGGGAGGGGTTGCTGCCCTATGTGATGTCATAAAGGGAAAATCTCCAAACAGCCTGTTTGAGCACATATTTTCTGAAAAGTGGAGCAAGAATAAGACGGAGAGGATGGACTTTTCTTATAGTTGGGAGTTTGTAGACAGGTTGGAACCACATTACTGTTTGAAAAACATGGTAAAGTGTATTTACTAATAAGTGTTCAGGATTCATGTATAATACTTTTGAAAACACTGGTAATTAGTTTATTCCAAGCTACACCTTCTCAAGGATTTCTGAGTGTCATCAGACCATTGAGATATTTTGAAAGTTAAAGAGTGTTTTATATTGCCTTATCTTATTAAACAGCAAGGGTTTAATCAGCAATTATTCCTTTCATATTTATGTTAGCACAGTTCAGTTAACTTTAGAAGGTAAATTTTGGTCAGAAGATGTTTGACCAATGCATTGACTGGGCTTTTTTTTCTATAAAAAAATAAAGATGACTTTCAATGAGATGCAGAGATGTATTTGTATCTTTGAAGTACTTTTTCTTGTTATTATCTCATTTGGTCATTCATAAATGTTCCATAAACCCTGTCTATTGATATCAACAATTTAACCATCATTTAACAACTACTGACATGTAAAAACTGCCCTGACCGCCTTGACTTAAACTGGCAACATAATCACAAAGTAAAAGAGAATGTCCCTCTACGATCATTGTCTGCGCCTAGCTTCTCTTTGTTTATGGCATACATTTGTAGTCTTTTTTTATTTGTTTCCTGTTTCTTCTTCCTTTTGTTTTTGGCGTAATTTTAGATAGGAATGCACAGATGTATCGGTTGAACATTGGTATTTGGCCATATTGACCCTGTTGATGAACATCAACATCAGCAAATAGTGTATCGTGAACCTATGTCATTATCCAATGAGTATCTGCATCATTATAATGCTGGCAAACCTAACAGCTGATTTAGATGGGAGGTTAGCTTAGCAGTTATTTCATGTGCTAATAGTCCTTGTCGTAGCGAGGTTTCGAATTCGACTTCTACGTCATTTGCTGCATGTCATACCTCACTCTCTTAGAATCAGAATTGTTTTTTATTGCCAAGTACATTTACACATACAAGAAATATGTTTTGGTATATTGATGCTAAAACAAACTCCTCCAAAAATGGCCTGTCTCTCTTCAGCTGTTCTGTCTAATTGTGTTTGTGTGTCTCTCACTCACTCGTCCCTGTTCATTGCAGCGTGTCAGCATGACCAAAGTCTGTACGTTCTTCTCCCAGATCATCCTCCAGAACTCGTTGACTGTGTGCGGCAGAGGACCCTGAGCTGCAATGTACTCCTTCCTGGAGTTGTAACCCTTCAAAAAAAGACATGAGCCCAGCCACAGAACATAAACATAGATCCTGCTAAGTTTGGTTGGACATTCTCATGTGTGTCAAACATGGATGCGGGTGAAGATGGAATTATTGAAGTAGCATTAAGCCAAAGAATTAGCAGTTAAGTTGTAAGTACGCACCGGCATGTAGTTAGCATTGATGTAGTCCTCATATGGACTCCCATGGACAATAGAGAGTTTCACCCTAGAGGAGTCATCTAGGAGTTGAGAAAAAAGTGTTTTTAGATGTATGACAATTTAGATCTAGTGTCACAACTAAAATGGGGTAATGACGGCAGATACAGTATGACGAGCAATGATGGTTTAAAGAAGAAGAATTGTTATTGCTGGTAGCAGGTGGTTTTGTTCAGCTGACTCACAGGGGAGCACATTGTTGTAGCGGTTCTTTGGCTTGTTCTCAAGAGTCAGGGCGGTTGTTTTGGACTGTCCTGTACCAACAGCTTTCAGATCCTTCAAAACAAAGAAGGAAACAAGCGTTGGAAGTCTCACTTAATGGCAAAATCTGGTGCAAATGTAATGCCTACATTAGTAAAGTAATATATTCAAATTAGTAATCATAGCAATTTTGTGACTTTGAGGGGGAACTTTTGGACATGCCTGTGATAACAATAAAAAAATGTTGACTCTCCCTGATCCCAGGCCTGTAGTGTTTTCAAGTGTTCAACAGTTATTCATTTATTAGGATAAGCCCCTTGAGATGTACCATCTCGTCTTCAATGGGGTCCCAACAGAAGACACGTCACAACATGATGTGAAAATTGACAGCAATTAAAAAAAGAGAAAAATAAAGAACAGAAAAACATAGAAAACAATACATGAAAAGTTAACAATACACAAACAGATCACAAAGAGCAACCCACTAAAATTAAACAAAGTAGAGGATGAAAAACATTACAGCCTAATGATGATCAACATGGCCAGCAGTATCAGAGGCAAGAATATGAGCACATCCAAATATACTTTTAAGAAAAATATAGAGTTGTTGGAGAGAACAGAAAATGCCTTTACGAATCATTTAAAAAGTCTTGATTTATTTCTTATCACTTCTAAACAGGGGTGTGTACAGAGGGGTGGCTAGGGGTTGCATGGGCCCCCCTTTGACATTTCATTGGCCACCCCAGGTGTAACCCCAAAATCCCAATCTATGATTGGTTATTTGCCTAATCCGAGTAGTTTTCTGTCAGTGTAGTGCTTTTTTTTAATTACTTTCAGTTGCGAATAAAAACCTGTGCACATTGTCTAACTAGCAATGGACCTAACCTACCAATACATATATTTCTCAAGTTAGACTGCATGTAAGAGTTTGCATGCAATTTTCTAAGTACTTTGAATTGTGAATTTGCACATATTTATTTTTGAGTCCCAAAAAGGAAACAAGCTAAGAAGATTTATATGTTGCCAAATTGCATTACCTACAAGTACATATCCTCAGTAGGGATAGAAAATGGTAAAAAGAAATGTCATTGGCGTCTGGGCACACAAAACTTCCTGCTACCCTGCATAAGTCAGTGTCCCAGCAGGGCCACCCCAGTCAAAACAGTCTGGACCCGCCCTGTTTCAAAACAACAAAGTATCTAATCATCTGAGAACAATGAGCAAATATAACCTTGGACCTCTTAGTTTTTACATCTTCACTTATCTTATGTCATATATATCAAAATTGATTATTAAATCTTTCTATAATAAATGGCATATTATTTTGTACCACATTTTGTACTGGTTTCAATGATGATAGAATCTCTTTGTGCAGTTACTCCCTGCTCGTAACTGGATGCGTATTATTATGGAGTCTTAAATATCAAGCTTTTTTGTTACCTCAAACTCCTCTGCAAAGCCACAGTTAGAGTCTGCCGTCTGTTTCTTGTAGTAAGCCTCAAAGTCCTCCACCCTCACAGCCGCACTGAGACACCAGAGGTCAGACAAGAGTCATACATTTTTATTCAGAGGAAACTGTGGACTGTCTGGATTTCACAATAATGCAGTCTGTGTCTGGTTTAATAAGTCTAATATTTTATAGAGCTGATCATTCATGTAAAGGATTAATACTTACGATTTGGCTCTGAAAAATAAATAAAGAAGGAAAAGGAACGTTCAACAGTTAGCAGCAATAGTTGTCCATTAACTTTCAACTTCAAGCACGGTTAGAATAATCTCCTTACCTCATGGAATGAATCTGGATGTCTGGTGTTTCTTTTTTCGATCTCCTGCAGTATACAAATGTGTTTAACCTTTAGTCCTAAACACAGTGATTGACGTACTCTTTTTATCAACAACAACTACAGTGTAACCAACCTTTTCCAGTAGATAATGAAGCCGATGAGGACGATGAAGAGAATGAAAAAAATGCCCAACGTTGCTCCGGTAGCGAGGCCAATCACCGCTAAATGTTGACACAGATTTGAAATGAAATACAGAGAAAGAGGCAAACAAGCAGCTTTTCAATCTTTTCAATATAATGGGAGCATTTCATATTAAATAACAGACTGTTTGAGTATGGCACCTGGGCTTGTTGGAAGATAGATGTTCGTAGAAAATTGTGTTACTGAAACCAGTGACTGTGCACCGTTCACCAACATTTCTTTCAGCTGTAGATCGGTGAACAACACGATAGCATATCTGCAGGAGAAAACAAAACAGACATTAATAAATATCCATATCTATGCATGTATCTTACACTTGTAGACTTCATTTATTACATAATACACCAATAAAAGATAATGTTGTTACTTTTTATACTTGAAAATGCTGCTTTGAGTTCTTACTTGTAATTTCCATTGGCCTGCAGAGGACTGTTAGTGTAGCCTTCCCATGTGGTATCATCTCCAACTGCTATGTTAATTTGGCTCTCCCCGCTACGGCTCTGGAAGTTTGTCTCTTTAACTGTTGCCAGGTATGCTTGAGTATGCCCGGCCTTCCACTCAGTGTAAGTTTTCTCCAAGTAGATTCTAAAATGAGAGGTGTCTGATGGAAGGACAGGAATCAATGACATCAGTTATTGTGCAGAAAAGTTTATCAATCTTTTGTAACAAATAGTAGAATGCACAAAATACTCAAAGTGGGCATGGATACATTAAAACAGTCAAGGCAGCACTAAAGGATTACAATAGCATAAATTACAACCATTTTTATTTTACTTTCACTTTCAGAAAAAGATAACCAAACTCACTAAGATTGTCAGCAGTCACGAGCACCCCAACATGTGTTATAGGCCCATTGGTGTTATTTAGCAGGCTGGAATTAATCTGAATGGAGAACATATTGTATACTTTGTCCTTAACTTTCAGCAGTGAGCCATCGTTCTTTGGAGGTGGGGGGTCTGTAATAAATAAAGAAGAAATTAACTCATCATGAAGTTTTGAACTTGCTCTCTTCATCATTTTGCTTGTGCATCTGTTTCTTTTTTTATTTACGATATTTTTAAGCAATGCTCCACATGCTTCACTGAAAAGACTCCAAACAGGCAAGGCGGCAGGGCTGAACGCAGTGTAACATTGTTAATTTTAGATAATCAAGCGGCAAAAGTAGTCTCACAGCAAAGATTCAAACGAATGCAGTAGGGTCACGTCAATGTAGACGAGACCCGAGAGACGTTCATGGTATGTATTTAAAGTCCCTTTGTACTATATAAATATGTTTGTTAGTTTCCTTTATTTGTTGGCATGTGAAAAAAGGGTAATTATGGAACTGTAAAAGGTTAAAGCCCTGCAGTCATATAGTTGTTTAATGCTTTTAAAGCAAGATATTTGTCACTGTGGCTTTAACTTGCCACTTACTGAACATCCCGTCTGTATGTCCTTTATAGTTTTTGTTTGGCAGTTAATGGGTGTAAAGTTTGCTTTATACTTGCTATAAAAGTCGGCTTAGTGTTGGTTTATCGTTTGTTCATTGTTAATGAGACAGCAAAATGTGTTTTTAAGGGCATTATTGTTATGGTTTGGTCTTTTTCTAGTTTGGTTTTTCGGTGTTTAGTGTTTCTTCTTGTTCTAGTGTGTTTTGTTCATTCTTGAGTGCTGTGTGTTTTTAGTGTTTCATGATTTAGTTTGTAGTTGTCCTCAGTGTTTCTTGTATTCCTGTCTGTGTGATTGCCCTGATTGTCCTCACCTGTGTCTTGTTAGTCTCACCTGTGTTTGATGACCCCTGTGTCTATTTAGTCTCTGTGTTTCTTCTCTCCTGTGGCAGTTCATTGTATGTTGTTTGTGGTTTGTTGTATGTGGTGAGTGAGTGAGTGAGTGAGTGAGTGAGTGAGTGAGTGAGTGAGTGAGTGAGTCAGTCAGTCGGTCAGTCGGTCGTCAGTTTGCTAGTGTCTCTTGTGCTTCCTTGTGGCTCCTTGTTTTTTCGTGTTTTGGAATTTTCATCGTTATTTTAAATAAATAGTTTCTTGTTTCCGCACTTGGGTCCACCTCCCTTGTTTTACACACCGCACTGTAACAATTATTTTGGAGTAAATGCTATTAATTTTTCACATTTCTGTTGGGCATTTCTGCCTTTATTGTAGAGACAGGACAGTGGACAGAGTCGGAAATCAGGGAGAGAGAGAGAGTGGGGAACGACATGCGGGAATGAAACCACAGGTCAGACTCGCCCGTCTGGGGAACCACAGTCTCCACGATTGGGGGTGCAAGTACAAACCACTACACTACCATGCCCCCATGTATAACTGACTTAACAGTTTAATAGGTGGTTTAAAAGTAATATTAATATGTAATAATAAAATGGCTGTCCTTTTGTTGTCTTTAAATAATTTAAAACATTTGACATTGTAACATCTCTAGTCTATTTTCAATTTCAGACAGATACTGAAGCAGAACCCCTAAATAAAGTGTCATTTATCCAAGCTTTCTGTATGAAAACTTGAAGTAAAATGTGTTTCAACACATTCTTTAATGTCGACCTTGTTGACATATTATGTTCTACCTGTGATTCCGGTCCAACAGGAAACAAGCTGTGGGCTGCTGGGTTGCCCACAGCTCTCAGTCACCACATCCATGCTGTACTGAGTGTGGTGACGAAGGTTGGACACAGTGTGATAACATTGTGGGCTTGTTGAATTATTATTGTTTCCGGACACCCGGAATCCAGTGAAACGACCAGAGGGACAGGTCCAGTTCAGGACGACTTCTGCGTTTGGTTGGTTTGGACCCGAACAGTTTAAGTCTGTCACAGGGCTCGCCTCTGCAGAATCAACAAGAAATAGAAAAATGGATCCATAATGCATGAATGAAACCGTATATAATATAAAAGTCATTCTATCACACAGTTAAGAACTTACTTGTGCAGGTGAAATGCCATGTTGGATCACTCTGCGTTCCATCAAAAGTCTCTGTAATGACACTAAAGTTGTAGTGGCTCCCAGGATCCAAATTGGTGAAGTTAAATTTGTTATCCATAGCGTTGTAACTTGAGTTCCCAGCTGAGCTGAGCAGAGTCAGATGGAAACGATAGCTTTCCTTGTATTGGTCAGGCTTGACCCATGTGGCTGTGATGATTTTCTCGTCCTCACAAGCTTTAAGAGAATTCACCTTGAAAGGTCCTGAGGGTTTGAATGTTTGAATGTTGATTTTAGCAGACAGAGCCAAAACAGAATGTGTCTTAGCTTGATAAAATGACAAAATCAAACACTTACTTGTGGTGACATTGTGGATCTGAACCACCTCACTCTGAAAACCCATAACCCCCACTGTTGCCACTGAGATACTGTAGGGGGTCCCAGACTGCAGGGAGGGAAAAGTAAGATTGGTGTTGGTGGTAGAGATGTGTTCCCCTCCCTGTGTTGATATGTTAGACAGCTGGTAGGAGAATGATGCACCAGTCATCAAAGGCGCTTCCTCCCACTTGATGTGAAGGGAGCTGGTTGTCTTTTTCAGGACCTTAATCAGCCCAGGAGGGTTAGGGACTGGGTGAAAGATTACAGACAGGGGACTTCAGCAAGTAGAGTAACATGGCTACAAAAAAATCTCCAACCACACAAATGATGTCGCATTGATTATAAAACACAAAGGTTTAACATGTTTGACTTTTACTATAACTATCATATAATAATACAGTAAAGATTACCTTTGGTATAATAATATGTGACTTGATATTATTGTATTTTTTTGTACACCTGACTGCTTATTAGCTGTATCAACTATGAATTACTGAATATGAAACCACTAAAAACAAATGTATCAAACTTACAAGTTGCATTAGTAACAAATCCAGATGGTTCCTTGAAGGGTCCACTCACTGAGATTACCATGGCAGAGTAAATCCTTCCAGCAGACAGGCCCTCAAACAGAAAGAATGTATGACTGGAGTTCAGCAGTCGCTCCTTTTCAGCCCCAAAAGTGCCGTTCAGTTTAACCTCAAAACGCTCCACTCTCCCAGGAGGTTCGGTCCACGACACCCGGACTGAACTGTTGGAGCCCTGACTGGAGATCATGGGCCACACTATCTCAGGCTCTGTTCATGTTAATGTGCAGAGAAGAGTGATTAAAGATGAGAAACCACAATGGTTCTCTGACAAAAACCGAGACATGACCGGTGTGGGTCTTACTTGTGTACTGAAGGGTGCAGTTTGCTTCTCCTTCGATGCCGTCCGCTGCCCTGACAACAACACAGAAGGTGCATTCGGTCCCAGGGGTGAGCTCGGAGATCTGCGTGTCATTCCCTGTGAGGGTTTTGTTTTTGTGGGTGTCACAGTGTGCAGTCTCAACCCGGTATGTATATTCTGGTTTGTATTCCAGAGGTCCATTCCAAAGCAGACGTACAGCAGTGGTGTTTAAGCCTTCAGCCCGCAACTGTCTGACACCATACGGCCCTGCAAACATAGCACAACGAGTTTCCTATCAAGAAATATTAACCGAAGAATGCACATCATAATAATATAGCCGCTTTCATATTACATCAACCTGTCAAATGAGCAGGACTAAATGCAGAGTCAAAGCAAACAAGTAAGCTTTTTAAATCATCTTTAAAGGCTTTCCACGGTATTCATTTAAGAATGTAACCAAATAGAAAAAGAAGGGAGGAGCATTATTTTTCAGCAAATCTAGGGACCTATGTTATGATCTCATTGTGATATAGCCCCTTGGGAGCGATGGCAGTTTTAGGGGAGATTGCAGTGTAGCAATTAAGCCAGCAATTAGTAATCAAGGACTTCTGGTTCAAGACTTTTTATACAGAGAGTTTCATCCTTTGCAGTCCGGCAACTTATGAAGCGAGGGAAAAAGTTGGAGTAGAGAGACAAAGTCTACAAGCTGTTATCTGCGCATATGCATGCAGATGTCTGTTTACATGGACTGACAAATAACTTAATCTTCGCTGAGGAAAACCAATCACGGTGAATTGCACTCCTACCACCAACAACAACAAAAACAGTGTGTCCCTTGTCTATGTTTCTGTATTTTCATAAATAAATGTTCCTCTTGCCTTGTTTTTAGTACCTCTGTTTTTAACTTCTTGCATCGTATTGTTCTGTTCCTGTTTTTTAATGAAATGTTTGATACTTTTATGTCTGATCGTCTCTGACTTTAACCTAGAAACAACACCTACACCTTCACAGTCAGTTCCCTCAATGTAATGAAATTGTAATATATATTTGTTAATTTGATTAAAAAGAATACGCTACTATTTTGGTTGACTTGCTTATTTTGTCCGCAATGAATTTTTGAGCCAGTAACTCTGACAGCATGGTGTTTATACATACTTGTGAAGTAGGACACAGCCACAGGAGCTGCCTTAGTGCCATCTGCTGTCTGTGTAGTCACAGTGAAGCTGTAGTTGCTCCCAGAGGAGAGACCAGTGATCGTTATTGTGGTTTCGTTGACTGTTTGAGGTGGAGCACCACTGGAGACCTCCACCACATATGAGTAGTGAGATTTTTTCTCCGGCTGTTCCCAGAACAAAGTCACTTTGTTTGTGGTGATTAATGTCTCATCTCCTCGCACAGTCACTGGATGTGGCTCTGATAAAAAAGAAAAGAAAAAACACAGTGGATAAATAGAGCAGGCATTTCAGAAGGAATACGGCAAAAATAATTTAAATAACATATGTGGTTCTCTAGTCAGCTATAGGACATAGGACACACAGTTTTTACAAATATGTATTTAAAAGTTAATATAGGCTTAAGGCTTAAGGGGTCAGCTGATGCTTTTCAAGGGACCTTAATTTAATACAAAATAATCTCTCTGTGGTTCATTCATACAACAGGTAAATTAAATATTACAAGTTACCAGTTGAATCCAAAATTAAAAGGAGGACATACTGGCTGCTGTGTTGTTGTCAGAGAAGCCAGCAACATAGCATGTTTCCTTCATGTCTGATGATGCAGTAAGGTCATTTAAAATTTATATCAGTAAATGTCTTACATATTGGACCTTTTAAGACTGTACAAAAATTCCAAATAAAAGCCTACAATTTATTTCTTTAAATGCCGAATAATACACATGCGAATAATCCCGATTAACTATTGAAATGTTGGATGAATCAGCATTAATAAATGTAATTGCTTGAGAGCCCTGACAAAAATAGAACTTGTATTTATTATAGCTTCAATAATGTGAAGCCTGTATCAAAATGTTACCCCATCTTCATAAAGTTAGCCTTTGTATATTTAATACTGTAGGCCCATTGAATTTAGCTGTTAGACTAGAAATGTTGGACTGTTTAAAGCCAAGCCAGGGCCTGCACAAAACCTAAACTTGTGAACATTTTTTCACTCAGCTCCAATTAAAAATCTTTGAGTTACTGTAAAGCTCCTGTTAGGCTTTGTGTTGATTTAGGCACCCCTAGTGGACAAACAGTATAGTACATCTTATCTCTTCGCAGATTTGGTTGCGTATGTAATGTTTTAACAAAATGTACCTGTTGGTAGGTTATTCTTGCATTCTGTCCCTACTAAAAGAATGGCCAATGCAAATATATTTTTTATTTCTTGTCTCTATTAGATTACAGATGCTGTTAAATGTACCTAAAGATATAAATGCTTTTTGAAATGCAGATTAGAAAGATATGGATTTTGCATTCAATCAAATAGGCCTACTTTACAATTATCTTGTGATTTCCCCTGAAAACAAAACAAAAGATGCTGAATAAATCCATTTTGGCAGAAGCTGCAGACAAATCAAATCAATTTGGGTTCCACAGATCTCATAACTTAATGAAGAATAACCCTATATGACCTTAAGTTAAAAAGAGAGTTTCTTATCTGTCTTCCCAATCTAATGGAAATGTTAACTTTTAAAAAGAGAATAAGACACTTTGAAAACATACTTGTGTAACTGGATATGTTTGTCTCTGATGACTTGACCCCGTCTACCACAGTGACCACTTTAAAAGTGTAAAAACTTCCAGGGTACAGATCAGAGAAGGTGTATGTCTCTTTCTCTGTGGATTCATTGTGAACAAGCTTGGTGTCCTGCAGTGCCATCACCAGGTAGGAGTAGGACGGTTTATGGTCACTCTGCCTGAGCCACGACAGCTGGACGCTTGTTGTGGTCACATTCTCAACAGTGATGTTGGGCACTGCTGTGGGTCCTGCAGAAAAACACAGCAGATGATTGAGTAAGAACCATAGACTGTAAATTATAAGTAAGAAGACCTCAGTTAAAGTACATCTGATAGTTAAGTAAGCCTTTACTTGTGTAACTGAATGTAAATTCATCCGCTGATTCGATTCCTTGCGCTGCTATCGTTCTGACACTGATGTTGTATTTAGTTCCTGGCTCCAGCTTTGATAATTCAGCACTGTTAGTGCTGACTGATTCGTTAGTTCCTGTAGGACTGACAGTTTGAACCAAGTATCGGTAATAGTCCTGGACTCCCTGCGGTGGTGACCATGTCACTTCTACAGAGGTGGTGGATTGAGTGCTGGATTTAAGGTTCAGCACAGGGTTGGGCACTGGAATATAATGAATAGAGGAAATGTTGATTAGAAAGTTATTAAAAAAGAAGAGATTTTTATAACACCACAAATTGAAGGAGCCTTAAACATGAACTTAACAGGGCGGTTAAACAAAAGCAAAAATAAATCATAGTATTCTGTTCTCCTTGTTGTACTTACAGGTGAGAGTAGAATAAACAACTTTTGAGCTCTTTAAACGTTCGGGTCCAACTGTTTGTACTGATATATTGTAGCGAGTTCCCGATGAGAGCTGGGACAACTCTATTTTGTCTGTGGTGCTATAATTGTATAATACATTGTTCTTAGATGAGTAGTAGATGATATGGTAGCTGATGTGTGGAGCATTCTCCATCAAAGCTGGAGTTGCCCAAACAACAGAGAGTGATGAGTTTGTCCTGTGACTGATGTTGATGGAACCAGGAGGCGTGGGGTCTAGAAAAGAATAAATAAAACGTATGCATAAGTAAGATAAGTTAGAAAAAAATATGGAAATAAAAAAACAACTGCATATCAAAGTTATATAGTGATTATTTAGGGTACATGCTAACATGTTAATAATGCTCGAGGAGAGGTCAAACCCATTACACCAGCTAAAGAGCATTCTGTAAGCATGGCGTTTCCAAAGAATATCACATTAGGATCAAATTATATTGATACGGTTCAATACCTGAGGAGTAATAGTATAAATAAATAAGAAAGAGTCAATACGAATTTTCACGAATTCATCTTGGTAATTTTACGGAAATATCATTTTAAATCTACCATCATAGGGTAATTCTTCTTTTAGGTCTGTGGAGCTGTGAGAGGAATTTCTTCCAAAACTAAGAGAATTGCTAGTTCTCAAAAGAAATGCGAATCCGATGTGATATGATTCAGGAAACCTTTTAAACGTGATCACGGAGAGAAAACATTCTGCTAATGGTTCCCTACCGAAGTTAGCTCACACTGCTTCTTAACTAAAGAAAACCTAAAAGGAAATCACACCTACATACAATAGAACAAAACACCTACTTAAAGCAACCACACCTCTCTTAAAGAGAAAAATCACCAGTTGGTATAGGTCATAAAAAAAACAGTCCAAGAAATCATTAAATGAAGACCCTCTTACTCCTGTTGTAAATGTTTGTTTGCCAAAATTCCCTTACAGTAGCTGTAATACATATGAGTTAGACATCTCATGGCAGCAGATCTATATTTAGACTGGAGCCATTGTACTGTATGTTGTGAGTTGAAAAGGAAACATGATTTGCTTAGGCTGAAGAAATGTAGATATGTGTGACAGATTCAAGTGAAGGTAAAGCATTCTTTCGAGCCTACTAGAAGTGTTTCCAAATGGAAAGGAATGTGTAGGCTCTACCTGCTAACAGAATGTACTGGAACCAAGACTGTTCACATGAAATGTTTGTCAGCCATTTGTGTTCTGTTGCTGTTTCTTTGTTTTTTATTTAGATCCACATTAGCTTTCGCATATCAGCAGCAGCTGTCTGACCTCAGCCAAATAAATCTAAGATAATCCACTGTCTCACGTTTTCATCATGGAATGTTTACAAAAGAAACACCCCCACCTACCAGGCAGGTATTAAAAAAAACATACATTTGTAAAGAGTTCACAATATACATATATATATATATATATATATATATATATATATATTTTTACATATTTGAGTTAGTACCTGGTTAAACCTGGATATTAAAGTGTTTTGATGGTTTCAAACCATTTCAATAAAGTGCATTTGTAAAAGCATTCTACTAAGTGCAACCCCTACTTCAGAATCATGCAGGAACAGACTACATGTAGGTTATGAACTCACAAGTGGCAAATGAAGACTGGTCAGATGTCTCGGCGAAGTTTCCAGCGACAGCGGTCACCGTGACGTTAAAGACTCTCCCGGGATGTAAACCAGTGAAGAGGAAGGTGGCCTCTTTTGTTTTATTGCTGATAGCATACATCAGTTTATCATTTGAGATGTTTACCATATAGCAATCAACCCTCCCTTCACGCAAAGTCCAGCTGATGTTAAGGCTGTCAGTCCCTCGTGTGGTTCCACAGTAATGTCCACAGGCTTAACAGGCCCTAAACAACACAGAGATGAAAATGTATTGGTTTGGTGGAACTAGCATAATGATAAAGAAGGTGGTATCCTGTAAAAGCCTATTTAACCCCCCAAAAAACATGGAGAGTAAATAAAATACATCAATACCCAATATAATCAGTCCATATAATCTATTTCTCAAAAATCCAAATCATGTAGTTATCTTTACAAAATATACATTTAAAGGTTGGTCTGCAATGTTTGACATTTGGCTAGAAAATCAAATGTATCAATTAATTTTATGAGACACCATATGAATCAAAACTGTTTAGCACCTCTCTTTCAGGTTCCCTTAATAAACCATTGACCCCAAAATGTAATACAAATGTAATTTAAACTGCACAACAAATATTTTTTAGATTTATTTTGGGGTTTTTAATGCCTTTATTGTAGAGATAGGATAGTGGATAGAGTCAGAAATCAGAGCTAGAGAGAGTGAGGAATGACATGCTGCAAAGGAGCCACAGGTCAGCATCGAACAGGCCGTCCACTTGGAGGACTATAGCCTCCGTACATGAGGCATGCACACTAACCGCAATGCTACCGACGCAACATACAAATAAGTGTTTGTCAATGCATGTGTCAAATGAATCCATTTCTTATACATGCATGTAGAGAAGGCTGGAGTATGAACTGATTAAAGGTGATGAAGTAAAGCAAAAATATTCTTCATACGATAAACATAATTTGTATTATCTCATAATATTTAATTTGTAATGGTAACTTTATAACCTATTTTGATTTCTTTTTAATTTCAAGAAACTATTTCCTGTGCGTTTGCTGAATCTCATAACTTTATTTGCTACAAGTATGTGCCAGCCGATAGTTTTATAACGCAAGACTTTCTCAGAGGTTGGACTTACGTGTAAAGGTAGATTCAGATATTTCCTCTCCTTTGTTTGAGAGATTTACAGCAACAGCAACCACTGTAATGCTGTACTGAAATCCAGGGGTTAAGTCATTGATTGTAAAGAAAGTGTTAATGGTGGTGTTGACTTTGCTGTTTTCTCCTTCAGCCCATCTCACTATGTATGAGGTAGCGTTGCCCTCTGGTTTAGTCCAGCTCAGAGTCACAGATGATGATGTGATTGTTTTGATGGCGAGATCCCTGACCGCAGCAGGTTCTGTGAATGCGCAAAAAAAATCAAGATAGAAGGAAAACATGAATAAAAATCAAACATCTTGACCATTAATAAGAACCGCTTGATGGGAAAAAGTGTTTTAATTAGTGTTTTACTTGTGACTGAAGTGAATGTGTAAGGCTCTCCTGTTTCATTAGCTCCATTCAAAGCCATGATTTGGATCGTGTAGGAAGTGCCAGGGATCAGGTCTGGTACCTCGAAATGGGCAGAGTTTGTGTAGTTGGACTTCACTGTCCCCCCATTATGCCATTCTACTCTGTACTTGAACACCTCACCAGGAGGTTGTGTCCAGTTCAGGTAAATGGAGAAGATGTTTGTAGACTCATCATGGCTCACAATTTGACCGGGTTCTAGTGGAGGACAGAAGATAGAATATCAAAATAAGAGAAGAAACACAGCAACAAACAATGTTGTTTTGCAGGAACTTTGCATTGAGACTCAGGATCCAGCAAATACCCTGCTGGAGTAAGTCTTTAAATCACTGCAGTTCTCTCCAGTTATCCTCAGCACATGAATACGTACTTGTGTATTCATAGCTTTCGCATGACGTCACACTCTTATAGAACCGCCCACTTGGAGGCTCTCTACCTGTAAACTACTGAGAAGTCCCTGGTCTCAGTTGGCCCCTACGTTTTTATCTGTTTTATTTTTCCCTGTGACGGGAAACATCGGACTTCTCCTCATCCTGACATCAATTATAGTGTTGACTAAATCGAAATATTCCTGCCGTTAAATCAAATTACTGCCCCAGAACACGAAGATTGATACTCTCGATAGCTAACTCTAACTGTTAGCTAATTAGCGCTCACCGATGCTTGAATGATGAGGAATTTCTTGCCCTTCACTTCTCAAACTGCAGCATTATCGAGCCAGACCGATCAATAATACATAAAGCTGTGTGTATGTTTGTAGACGTTCATCCTACAGCGGTTTAAGAAGAGGGATTTTCTTCTAAATATCAGCAATATCACTGAAGTGACGTTCTGGTGTTACGGTTAAAAGAGTGACCGTGTTAACTGATGACGTTCAGACAAACTCGACTGAAAGTGTCCTAAGAAATGCCTCTCAGTTCAGTTTTTGTATTGGCATAATGTCTAAATTACTTAAGAGATATGTTTCAATGAAAGCTAAACAAATATGCTTTTGTTAGGATACGTAAGGTACGACAACCAGACAGTCACCAGTTAACATGGTAACTATTTTAACCGTAACACCGGCACGGACTTTGCCGTTTCTAGCGGTATAAATAGTTTCCCGTGTGTTGTTAAAGTATCGCAAGTGCCCCAAACTTAAAGTTTATCTTAATGTATTGGTTTTGCTATGGTTGTCAGGTGATGTAAACATTTAGGAGATGTTAAATTAAAAGCCCGTGCTGCAGTTCTACACTGTAACGGTGGCCATTTTCCTGAGCAGGATTTCTTTTTTTAATAAAAAAGGATAAATGAGACAAAAAATTAAGAAAGAAAAAAAAACTGTTGACATTGACCGGTAGAGAACGAACAACTTTGTGTTGTAATGTCAAAACAACAAGTCTGAGGTTACAGAGAAAGTGAAAAATTATAATTTCCCTTGGCATTAAAACAAGTGTTTCATATGAAAACCAAAAGGAAGAAACCTAAACATGAGCTAATAGGTTAACTAAAAAACTGAAAAGATAAAAAACATAGCTCATCATCTTACTGGTATAGTGAAAAGTCTCAGCCATTTCACTCTCTGTTGTGTTATCTCCAGCCACTGCTATGACAGTAAAATCATACCGCACTCCAGCAGTCAGATCAGTGACATTGATTTTTGTTTTAGTGACATTCTTGTTGTTGTTAGTTGTTCCATCAGTCCACTGTACTCTATAGAAGGAGCTCTCTCCCTTTGGTTTAGTCCACTTAAGAGATATGGAGGAGGTTGTGACGTAGACTACAGTGAGTTTCTCTACTACTTCAGGTACTGTGAGGGAAGAGGAGGGGAATAAAGAGTTTATCAAAGCAGTTAAATACAAAATCAGTCGAAGCCAATCAAAAGAAAAGGACTTCAACATTTGTTCATGCACTCTACCAAAGACTGCTTCATCTAGATTTGTGAAAACTTCTCAGATAGTAAAAGCAGAAGCTTGAAGGATTAAAACAAAGTGAACTTGTTTCAAACCAACAGATTCTGAACTAATATGAAAACATGAGTTTGTCGTCCTTTGATTTTTATCCTGCCTGTAGTCACTGCAGACAATCTGCTCCAACAGGTGTCCAATGTGCAGCAGTAGCTCAGTCTGTAGGGACTTGGGTTGGGAATCGGAGAGTCACCGGTTCAAGTTCCAGCATGGGCCAAGTCCAGAAATTGGCCTGCTAGCTGGAGAGGTGCCAGTTCACCTCCTGAGCACTGCTGAGGTGCCCTTAAGCAAGGCACCTAACCCCCCTACCAGCTCAGGAGTGCCCACTGTGGCCCCTCACTCTGAGACTTCTCCGTTAGTGTATGTCCATAAGATCCTGTTTGTGCATGTGTGTGTATTTTGGCCTATGTTTGTGTCGCATGTTTACTAGACAGAGTGTAAAAAACAAATTTCCCCTCGTGGGATCAATAAAGTATAAATTATTATTATTATTATTTAGCACACTCTCACAACCTGACAACATGACACACTTACTTGTGTAATGAGAAACCATGGTACTGTTTCCTTCAGTAATATGATCCTCTGCTACTGCAATAACACTTATTTCATACTGGACACCAGCAGTCAGGTTAGTAATGTTAATATGTGTTTCTGTCACATTTAAAGTCTCATCCTTCCCTTCATTAGTCCACTGTACTCTACAGAAGGAGCTCCCTCCCTCAGGTTTAGACCAGGTCACATACATTGAGGATGTTGTGAGTTCAGTGACAGTGAGATTCTGGATGATGTTGGGCTCTTAGATAAATGCAATATGAGGGAAAATCATTTAGAAACAAAGGAACATATCACTTTGTTTTTGGACACATCAGGATCCTCAATTTAACAAGTTCAACAGTAACACTGGGTTACAATCAAGACCAGAACAACAACAGCATCAACTTATATGTACCCAACAACTACATCAGAACTAAGTATTGTGCAGTTGAAACAATAATGGTGAGCCCCAAAATTGACAAAAAGCACTGTCATAATCAAAAATGGAATCCTTACTGGTATAGTGAAAAGTCTCAGCCATTTCACTCTCTGTTGTGTTATCTCCAGCCACTGCTATGACAGTAAAATCATACCGCACTCCAGCAGTCAGATCAGTGACATTTATTCTTGTTTCAGTGACATTCTTGTTGTTGTTAGTTGTTCCATCAGTCCACTGTACTCTATAGAAGGAGCTCTCTCCCTTTGGTTTAGTCCACTCAAGAGATATGGAGGAGGTTGTGACGTAGACTACAGTGAGTTTCTCTACTACTTCAGGTACTGTGAGGGAAGAGGAGGGGAATAAAGAGTTTATCAAAGCAGTTAAATACAAAATCAGTCGAAGCCAATCAAAAGAAAAGGACTTCAACCTTTGTTCATAAACGCTCCCAAACACTGCTTCATCTAGATTTGTGAAAACTTCTCAGATAGTAAAAGCAGAAGCTTGAAGGATTAAAACAAAGTGAACTTGTTTCAAACCAACAGATTCTGAACTAATATGAAAACATGAGTTTGTCGTCCTTTGATTTTTATCCTGCCTGTAGTCACTGCAGACAATCTGCTCCAACAGGTGTCCAATGTGCAGCAGTAGCTCAGTCTGTAGGGACTTGGGTTGGGAATCGGAGGGTCACCGGTTCAAGTTCCAGCATGGACCAAGTCCAGAAATTGGCCTGCTAGCTGGAGAGGTGCCAGTTCACCTCCTGAGCAATGCTGATGTGCCCTTAAGCAAGGCAGCTCAGGAGTGCCCACTGTGGCCCCTCACTGTGAGACCTCTCCATCAGTATATGTCCATAAGATCCTGTTTGTGCATGTGTGTGTATTTTGGCCTATGTTTGTGTCGCATGTTTACTAGACAGAGTGTAAAAAACAAATTTCCCTTCGTGGGATCAATAAAGTATAAATTATTATTATTATTATTTAGCACACTCTCACAACCTGACAACATGACACACTTACTTGTGTAATGAGAAACCATGGTACTGTTTCCTTCAGTAATATGATCCTCTGCTACTGCAATAACACTTATTTCATACTGGACACCAGCAGTCAGGTTAGTAATGTTAATATGTGTTTCTGTCACATTTAAAGTCTCATCCTTCCCTTCATTAGTCCACTGTACTCTATAGAAGGAGCTCCCTCCCTCAGGTTTAGACCAGGTCACATGCATTGAGGATGTTGTGAGTTCAGTGACAGTGAGATTCTGGGTGATGTTGGGCTCTTAGATAAATGCAATATGAGGGAAAATCATTTAGAAACAAAGGAACATATCACTTTGTTTTTGGACACATCAGGATCCTCAATTTAACAAGTTCAACAGTAACACTGGGTTACAATCAAGACCAGAACAACAACAGCATCAACTTATATGTACCCAACAACTACATCAGAACTAAGTATTGTGCAGTTGAAACAATAATGGTGAGCCCCAAAATTGACAAAAAGCACTGTCATAATCAAAAATGGAATCCTTACTGGTATAGTGAAAAGTCTCAGCCATTTCACTCTCTGTTGTGTTATCTCCAGCCACTGCTATGACAGTAAAATCATACCGCACTCCAGCAGTCAGATCAGTGACATTGATTCTTGTTTCAGTGACATTCTTGTTGTTGTTAGTTGTTCCATCAGTCCACTGTACTCTATAGAAGGAGCTCTCTCCCTTTGGTTTAGTCCACTCAAGAGATATGGAGGAGGTTGTGACGTAGACTACAGTGAGTTTCTCTACTACTTCAGGTACTGTGAGGGAAGAGGAGGGGAATAAAGAGTTTATCAAAGCAGTTAAATACAAAATCAGTCGAAGCCAATCAAAAGAAAAGGACTTCAACCTTTGTTCATAAACGCTCCCAAACACTGCTTCATCTAGATTTGTGAAAACTTCTCAGATAGTAAAAGCAGAAGCTTGAAGGATTAAAACAAAGTGAACTTGTTTCAAACCAACAGATTCTGAACTACTATGAAAACATGAGTTTGTCGTCCTTTGATTTTTATCCTGCCTGTAGTCACTGCAGACAATCTGCTCCAACAGTGTCCAATGTGCAGCAGTAGCTCAGTCTGTAGGGACTTGGGTTGGGAATTGGAGGGTCACTGGTTCAAGTTCCGGCATGGACCAAGTCCAGAAATTTGCCTGCTAGCTGGAGAGGTGCCAGTTCACCTCCTGAGCAATGCTGAGGTGCCCTTGAGCAAGGCACCTAACCCCCCAACCAGCTCAGGAGCACCCACTGTGGCCCCTCACTCTGAGACTTCTCCGTTAGTATATGTCCATAAGATCCTGTTTGTGCATGTGTGTGTATTTTGGCCTATGTTTGTGTCGCATGTTTACTAGACAGAGTGTAAAAAACAAATTTCCCCTCGTGGGATCAATAAAGTATAAATTATTATTATTATTTAGCACACTCTCACAACCTGACAACATGACACACTTACTTGTGTAATGAGAAACCATGGTACTGTTTCCTTCAGTAATATGATCCTCTGCTACTGCAATAACACTTATTTCATACTGGACACCAGCAGTCAGGTTAGTAATGTTAATATGTGTTTCTGTCACATTTAAAGTCTCATCCTTCCCTTCATTAGTCCACTGTACTCTACAGAAGGAGCTCCCTCCCTCAGGTTTAGACCAGGTCACATGCATTGAGGATGTTGTGAGTTCAGTGACAGTGAGATTCTGGGTGATGTTGGGCTCTTAGATAAATGCAATATGAGGGAAAATCATTTAGAAACAAAGGAACATATCACTTTGTTTTTGGACACATCAGGATCCTCAATTTAACAAGTTCAACAGTAACACTGGGTTACAATCAAGACCAGAACAACAACAGCATCAACTTATATGTACCCAACAACTACATCAGAACTAAGTATTGTGCAGTTGAAACAATAATGGTGAGCCCCAAAATTGACAAAAAGCACTGTCATAATCAAAAATGGAATCCTTACTGGTATAGTGAAAAGTCTCAGCCATTTCACTCTCTGTTGTGTTATCTCCAGCCACTGCTATGACAGTAAAATCATACCGCACTCCAGCAGTCAGATCAGTGACATTTATTCTTGTTTCAGTGACATTCTTGTTGTTGTTAGTTGTTCCATCAGTCCACTGTACTCTATAGAAGGAGCTCTCTCCCTTTGGTTTAGTCCACTCAAGAGATATGGAGGAGGTTGTGACGTAGACTACAGTGAGTTTCTCTACTACTTCAGGTACTGTGAGGGAAGAGGAGGGGAATAAAGAGTTTATCAAAGCAGTTAAATACAAAATCAGTCGAAGCCAATCAAAAGAAAAGGACTTCAACCTTTGTTCATAAACGCTCCCAAACACTGCTTCATCTAGATTTGTGAAAACTTCTCAGATAGTAAAAGCAGAAGCTTGAAGGATTAAAACAAAGTGAACTTGTTTCAAACCAACAGATTCTGAACTAATATGAAAACATGAGTTTGTCGTCCTTTGATTTTTATCCTGCCTGTAGTCACTGCAGACAATCTGCTCCAACAGGTGTCCAATGTGCAGCAGTAGCTCAGTCTGTAGGGACTTGGGTTGGGAATTGGAGAGTCACCGGTTCAAGTTCTGGCATGGACCAAGTCCAGAAATTGGCCTGCTAGCTGGAGAGGTGCCAGTCCACTTCCTGAGCACTGCTGAGGTGCCCTTGAGCAAGGCACCTAACCCCCCAACCAGCTCAGGAGTTCCCACTGTGGCCCCTCACTCTGAGACTTCTCCATTAGTATATGTCCATAAGATCCTGTTTGTGCATGTGTGTGTATTTTGGCCTATGTTTGTGTCGCATGTTTACTAGACAGAGTGCAAAAAACAAATTTCCCCTCGTGGGATCAATAAAGTATAAATTATTATTATTATTATTTAGCACACTCTCACAACCTGACAACATGACACACTTACTTGTGTAATGAGAAACCATGGTACTGTTTCCTTCAGTAATATGATCCTCTGCTACTGCAATAACACTTATTTCATACTGGACACCAGCAGTCAGGTTAGTAATGTTAATATGTGTTTCTGTCACATTTAAAGTCTCATCCTTCCCTTCATTAGTCCACTGTACTCTATAGAAGGAGCTCCCTCCCTCAGGTTTAGACCAGGTCACATACATTGAGGATGTTGTGAGTTCAGTGACAGTGAGATTCTGGATGATGTTGGGCTCTTAGATAAATGCAATATGAGGGAAAATCATTTAGAAACAAAGGAACATATCACTTTGTTTTTGGACACATCAGGATCCTCAATTTAACAAGTTCAACAGTAACACTGGGTTACAATCAAGACTAGAACAACAACAGCATCAACTTATATGTACCCAACAACTACATCAGAACTAAGTATTGTGCAGTTGAAACAATAATGGTGAGCCCCAAAATTGACAAAAAGCACTGTCATAATCAAAAATGGAATCCTTACTGGTATAGTGAAAAGTCTCAGCCATTTCACTCTCTGTTGTGTTATCTCCAGCCACTGCTATGACAGTAAAATCATACCGCACTCCAGCAGTCAGATCAGTGACATTGATTCTTGTTTCAGTGACATTCTTGTTGTTGTTAGTTGTTCCATCAGTCCACTGTACTCTATAGAAGGAGCTCTCTCCCTTTGGTTTAGTCCACTCAAAAGATATGGAGGAGGTTGTGACGTAGACTACAGTGAGTTTCTCTACTACTTCAGGTACTGTGAGGGAAGAGGAGGGGAATAAAGAGTTTATCAAAGCAGTTAAATACAAAATCAGTCGAAGCCAATCAAAAGAAAAGGACTTCAACCTTTGTTCATAAACGCTCCCAAACACTGCTTCATCTAGATTTGTGAAAACTTCTCAGATAGTAAAAGCAGAAGCTTGAAGGATTAAAACAAAGTGAACTTGTTTCAAACCAACAGATTCTGAACTACTATGAAAACATGAGTTTGTCGTCCTTTGATTTTTATCCTGCCTGTAGTCACTGCAGACAATCTGCTCCAACAGGTGTCCATTGTGCAGCAGTAGCTCAGTCTGTAGGGACTTGGGTTGGGAATCGGAGAGTCACCGGTTCAAGTTCCAGCATAGACCAAGTCCAGAAATTGGCCTGCTAGCTGGAGAGGTGCCAGTTCACCTCCTGAGCAATGCTGAGGTGCCCTTAAGCAAGGCACCTACCAGCTCAGGAGTGCCCACTGTGGCCCCTCACTGTGAAACCTCTCCATTAGTATATGTCCGTAAGATCCTGTTTGTGCATGTGTGTGTATTTTGGCCTATGTTTGTGTCGCATGTTTACTAGACAGAGTGTAAAAAACAAATTTCCCCTTGTGGGATCAATAAAATATAAATTATTATTATTATTTAGCACACTCTCACAACCTGACAACATGACACACTTACTTGTGTAATGAGAAACCATGGTACTGTTTCCTTCAGTAATATGATCCTCTGCTACTGCAATAACACTTATTTCATACTGGACACCAGCAGTCAGGTTAGTAATGTTAATATGTGTTTCTGTCACATTTAAAGTCTCATCCTTCCCTTCATTAGTCCACTGTACTCTACAGAAGGAGCTCCCTCCCTCAGGTTTAGACCAGGTCACATGCATTGAGGATGTTGTGAGTTCAGTGACAGTGAGATTCTGGGTGATGTTGGGCTCTTAGATAAATGCAATATGAGGGAAAATCATTTAGAAACAAAGGAACATATCACTTTGTTTTTGGACACATCAGGATCCTCAATTTAACAAGTTCAACAGTAACACTGGGTTACAATCAAGACCAGAACAACAACAGCATCAACTTATATGTACCAACAACTACATCAGAACTAAGTATTGTGCAGTTGAAACAATAATGGTGAGCCCCAAAATTGACAAAAAGCACTGTCATAATCAAAAATGGAATCCTTACTGGTATAGTGAAAAGTCTCAGCCATTTCACTCTCTGTTGTGTTATCTCCAGCCACTGCTATGACAGTAAAATCATACCGCACTCCAGCAGTCAGATCAGTGACATTTATTCTTGTTTCAGTGACATTCTTGTTGTTGTTAGTTGTTCCATCAGTCCACTGTACTCTATAGAAGGAGCTCTCTCCCTTTGGTTTAGTCCACTCAAGAGATATGGAGGAGGTTGTGACGTAGACTACAGTGAGTTTCTCTACTACTTCAGGTACTGTGAGGGAAGAGGAGGGGAATAAAGAGTTTATCAAAGCAGTTAAATACAAAATCAGTCGAAGCCAATCAAAAGAAAAGGACTTCAACCTTTGTTCATAAACGCTCCCAAACACTGCTTCATCTAGATTTGTGAAAACTTCTCAGATAGTAAAAGCAGAAGCTTGAAGGATTAAAACAAAGTGAACTTGTTTCAAACCAACAGATTCTGAACTAATATGAAAACATGAGTTTGTCGTCCTTTGATTTTTATCCTGCCTGTAGTCACTGCAGACAATCTGCTCCAACAGGTGTCCAATGTGCAGCAGTAGCTCAGTCTGTAGGGACTTGGGTTGGGAATCAGAGGGTTGCCGGTTCAAGATCTGGCATGGACCAAGTCCAGAAATTGGCCTGCTAGCTGGAGAGGTGCCAGTTCACCTCCTGAGCAATGCTGAGGTGCCCTTAAGCAAGGCACCGAACCCCCCTACCAGCTCAGGAGTGCCCACTGTGGCCCCTCACTGTGAGACCTCTCCATTAGTATATGTCCATAAGATCCTGTTTGTGCATGTGTGTGTATTTTGGCCTATGTTTGTGTCGCATGTTTACTAGACAGAGTGTAAAAAACAAATTTCCCCTCGTGGGATCAATAAAGTATAAATTATTATTATTATTTAGCACACTCTCACAACCTGACAACATGACACACTTACTTGTGTAATGAGAAACCATGGTACTGTTTCCTTCAGTAATATGATCCTCTGCTACTGCAATAACACTTATTTCATACTGGACACCAGCAGTCAGGTTAGTAATGTTAATATGTGTTTCTGTCACATTTAAAGTCTCATCCTTCCCTTCATTAGTCCACTGTACTCTATAGAAGGAGCTCCCTCCCTCAGGTTTAGACCAGGTCACATACATTGAGGATGTTGTGAGTTCAGTGACAGTGAGATTCTGGGTGATGTTGGGCTCTTAGATAAATGCAATATGAGGGAAAATCATTTAGAAACAAAGGAACATATCACTTTGTTTTTGGACACATCAGGATCCTCAATTTAACAAGTTCAACAGTAACACTGGGTTACAATCAAGACCAGAACAACAACAGCATCAACTTATATGTACCCAACAACTACATCAGAACTAAGTATTGTGCAGTTGAAACAATAATGGTGAGCCCCAAAATTGACAAAAAGCACTGTCATAATCAAAAATGGAATCCTTACTGGTATAGTGAAAAGTCTCAGCCATTTCACTCTCTGTTGTGTTATCTCCAGCCACTGCTATGACAGTAAAATCATACCGCACTCCAGCAGTCAGATCAGTGACATTGATTTTTGTTTCAGTGACATTCTTGTTGTTGTTAGTTGTTCCATCAGTCCACTGTACTCTATAGAAGGAGCTCTCTCCCTTTGGTTTAGTCCACTCAAGAGATATGGAGGAGGTTGTGACGTAGACTACAGTGAGTTTCTCTACTACTTCAGGTACTGTGAGGGAAGAGGAGGGGAATAAAGAGAAATACGAACGTTTTTGTTTTTTTAAATGCATCAATCGTAAAGTTGAAGTTACAATAGTAAAACTACAATTTGATTGATGCTGTCCATCAAAATTATCAAGCTGCTGCAATACAGTTGAAAGTTCATCTAGCATCTTGATGTTTTGGGATCCACTCTCAGTACTGTAACTCATCTTGCCTCACTTTTTAAAGCAGAGACCCAGGGTTTTAATATAGTGTCAACAGTTTGACTAACAAAATTTACAGGATCACCAAGAATAAGTTAAGACAAGCCCAGCAAAATCTGATTCAAACACATGCATCAACTATCTCATTGTCGTAAAAACAGATTTTGGAGCTGGACCGAAAGAAATCCAAACTTTGTCGAGATAATCTTTCATTCTTTCATTTAAAATGTTATATTTGTACTTACATGTGTACCGACATAGTATTGTCAACATGTACTTACGTGTGTACCGACATACAGTGCTATTCTGTCCTTCAGTACGGTCATCACTGGCCACTGCAGTGACAGATACACAGTACAGGACTCCAGCAGTAAGATCCTTGATGGTTTGGGAGGTTTCTGTTGTGTTGACTTGTCCATTAGTCCAGTTCACTCTGTAGAGGGAGCTGTTTCCCTCAGGTTCAGTCCAGTTAACAGTCAAGGAGTTGGTTGTCACATTAGTGACATGAAGGTTTCTGACAGCTTCGGGCTCTGTGACAGAGGGTGAGGATGATGTTGGGAATAATTAATACTGTTACTGTATTTCTCAATAACCACCATTAGAGTTACTTAGTGTTTTGTACTTTAGGTGTACTTTATACTTTTTGTTACTCATACTCGGAGTTGCTTGAAAACAAAAGTTCAATATGCTGAATCTGCAGCATGATGTAGGTACTGATCTATTCAGATTCATTGTTCTATGGTTGGAATTTGAGTATTCAAGTGAAGTAAACAGACTTACTCATTGTGACCTCTTTGCAGCAGTTAAAACAGATGAAGAAGACTTTATAGACTTTTCCAGGCGTCAAATCAGTTATCGAACCTTGCCCAGTTGTGTCATTCCCAATGGATAAGTTACAGTTTTGATCTGATTCCAACCTGACTGTTGTTGTGGTTGTTGTTAATGTTTCCGTTTGATTTTCAGCACATTGACTACCTAGTAGATACAAAACAAAAAATGTAGAAAAATGAATGAGTAAGAAAAAAACACAGGTTTAAGTATTTCTTGAGAAGTTGTGATGTTAATTTAATTACACACAAACAGAAATGAAGACCATATAATCTCTACAGCACATGTGTACTTACTGTCACAGTTTGCTTCATAGATCTGTAAAAAAGACAGAAAAAAAAGCACATTACATTTGGATCACCAGCAGAGGTCAGCGTTGAGTTTCAGACAGCTTAAAACAAGCAACTGAAGTCAAATCAAACACCTTTTCAGAGTGTTATAAATGTGGTCATTTAGCAACATCAGAGCAATAGAATTTTAATTATTAAACTAACAACTGATAAACAGTTTTTTATTCCTCAGGTGTGTCACCCTGAGTCAGTTACTCTTTGAGCTGTGGTCCTTCAGTCAAACAACATCTGATGCGTGCTATAGGACAGTGGTTCAATGTGGACAGTGGTTCCCAACCTTTTTTTTTTCCTTCAGGCCCTTCCTATTTGTATTGAAAAGTGTTGCCCCCTCCCAGGACCCACATGAAAAAAGTGCTGTCAAAACTTAACATAAATCCTAACCGTTTTCGTTAAACCGCAATTACAGGTGTGGCTGACTAAAGCCTGATTTTCTACACAGTTTATCTATAGACCTTTTAATAACCATCCAGTATCCCCCCCCCCCAACACACACACACACACACACACACACACACACACACACACACACACACACACACACACACACACCCACACCCCAGAGAATGACCACTATGTAGAGGTGTAAGTCTTAACCATTTAACCCCAGAGACACATATTTTATTCATTAAGGTAACTAAAGATGTAAATGTAGTTTTATCAGCTATAGGGCTGGTTTTCATTAGGGAGAATCTATTAACCATAGTGTTGTCCGTTTTGGTCACAGACTTATATTAGGCTTCTTTTATGATCAGACATTTCCTGAATTCTATCAGGAAACTTTCTAACTTCTTTTTATTTAGTCTACATTTTTATTTGTATTTAAAAAAATACAGAGGTACTGACACTGATGTCTTGTCTTATTTCTTTGTCAATTAGTTTTGTTGTTCAAATATGTCTGTCTGCGGAATCAACCTGCAATATAACCATCATGTGTAAAGAATTTAAAAAAAATTCTATTAGATTTGTATGTACACGCATAAGTGCAGTATCAAGGATAGTCCCATTCTCTAATTAATTAATCATGTTTGCATGTAGGTCAATATAAAAACAAGTACACAATGGAAATACCCAACCATCAGTAACCGTTGTATGCCTGGTTATGCTAAATGACAGGAACTGCTGATGAAAACAATGTTCTTCTTTCTATTATTAGAATATATAACCATCATGCTCCAAAACAGCTTCAACCAATTTATAAATGGATAAACTTTTGAATTTAACAAAGTCTGTGTACATATAACAGCAGCTGAGTATTTCCTCTGTTGTTGTTATCTGCATCATGGTGTCAGGTCTTACCAAACAGCTTTCATTCCATATTACTTATTAGCCAAAACTTAAACAGGCCAGAGAAACTCTGACATGTTTCCTTTCGGTCTGTTTGCCACACAGCTAAACATTAAACACATGGCATCATTGCTCAAACCTGCATCAGTCTCTCCCTCACAGAGGTCACGGGTAGGTTCAATCATTGACTCCTGCTCACAATGGCAGAAAAGACCTCATTCAAGGTCTTGTCAGGTTGTTCTTTAGAATGTATGAAATATGACCAGCTTGGCCTGTAAAGGACATTATTCTTTGGATAGAATATTATAGAGCAAAAGCAGTACTTGATCAGGAGTGACTTTTTTCTGAGTGGAGGAAATAAAAAACAGAACAATTGTGACGTATGTGGCTGAGTCCCATTCCAACCAAGGCAGTCTAATACAAAACAATATTACCAATAGGAGGGTTATATTACATATAACTTGCCCATAGAATCTAATGCATGTATAAATGAGGGTAGACTTAACATTAGAGACACCACTTAGATAGATAAATGACAGCACCACAAACTACAGACTACAAACATGACAGTTAAGTTGAACGCTTAAAGAACTTTAAAAGTGAGGCTGCAACTGTGACTATTTTATATTTGAGTAATGTGTCCGCTCTGCTTATTTTAATGACCAACAGTCTAATTCAGCTTTAAAACTGGAAAAGGCGTTGTTGTTTTTTAATAGAAATAAATGAACAGTTAGCTAGTCAACTGGTAATGACAAGCCCATCATGAATGCTGAATTTCTGACATTTGTCCTAAGTTAAGCTTATCTATTTTATTATTTTTAACTATTATTTTGAAATACAATTTTTTGTATTGTCGTGTCCAATGGATTGATGTACAACAATTAAATATTGCATTTATTTTCCTCCATTGTAAATGTTTAACTTAGACTGTAGATCTTTTGAAACATGTGTTGGTAGTACTTTCCTTATTATGGTTATAGCTATAATGAACAGGTAAGTTAGATATTGTGAGAATATTTGCAAGTGGTGAGACCAGGAAGCTGGGAAAGAAAAAGGTTAACTTTGTATTAGACGGGGGCCCTTTCACCCACCTGTCCCTTGAGACAAGTGTCCTCTCCTTAATGTTTCTTTTTCTGTTCACAAAAGTGACCCTTCCCTTCCTGCCGCTCCTCTGGGACTCTATTCTTTTTGAAGTACAGCGATGCCACACAGTGGTGCCTTAGGAGTTCAAGGGTTCAGTTCTCTTTGAGGATCTGGTGATGGGTTTTTACATAGTGTATGAGAGGGTCACGAAACAATGCATTAAAATAACCCACAAGTGAGGGTTTTCTTCTTAACAATACACTAACTAGTCATTACTTTAATTCTCAGGTTTTATGACAAATAAAACATGGATTTTGAAGATTGGCGAAACAGTCTGTTTGAGAAAATATTCATTTGGAAGAACAAACTTTTGCTCTATGTGAAGGTTGTTAGCATAGCTGAGTCTCACGCTAACACCCTGACAGAGTGGCTATGGGTGTTACTTTGAGATACTTTGCCTAACAATAATTTCTTTCAAATGTATTAATATCTTCATAAAATTATTTTTAAGTTGGAAGCGTACAGTAAGCTACAGGAGTAAAGCTATCAAACAACAACTCTGTTGTTTTAACCCTAATAAAAAACAAGATGTATCCTTTATTAACTGAAAAAGTCCATTGGCATGTAGGCTACCTAGATTATTTATTATTATTATTTACTACAAATAAACAAACACAATCTTGAAGAAGGCCTAATTTTAAAATTATGTCTAAAATTATGCATATGCTAATATGGCTTAGCACTTCATGCGTTGTTATACAATGCAGTGTTATTAGTTCCTATTGGCTATTTGTTACCTAAAGAATTGGACAGTTTGGATTTTAAGAATATCATGTGTGTTAGGCTACAGTTAGACTGTGCTGAACAACAAGCTAAAATATAAAGGTTAGCTTATCATGCTCATCTTAATAGACTTCTGAAACATAACATAACAAGAGAAACTTATTGTTTAAAAGGGTTAACATAAGCGTGTGCAACAATGGCATCTGAAACAACCCACAGAAAATCTCAATCTAGTCGTAGTTTTTAGCCTTTGTAAGCTATCCTACACAGTCCTTAGTTTTGGGGGGGTTTTGAGGCTACTGCCTTTAAAGTTTAGCTCATATCTCATACCCATTACATACAAGCAAGCAGAAATGTTGCTCTTAAAGTTTTAAAACCAATGTTATCATTTTGTCCCAAATGTTCAATTCAAACTCGACAGCTAGCAGGATGAAGCTGACTAACGAGTCAACCATGTAGGCCTACAGCTAGCATAGGAGTAGCCTAAGTGTTAGCCAAAAAAGAGCAAAGAGGCATATTAATAACTTAATTTCTTGGATAAAACCGTGAGTCAAAACAAATATAAGTTGCCTATTTCCCTGTTTATTGTATTTATAAGTCAACATGTTTTTGTGAGAGCAGTTAAAACGAGCACTTCCAACACGGATTTATTAACTTTTCAAAGCAGATAAAAAAAAGATGTGACAAATATTAATGATAGCCTAGCTCTATTTCAAGAGTAAGAAAGTGACTTGCTCACAAGGCGTACACCTGTAACAGGAAATGAATGTAAAAACAAAAAATACTGGACCAAACACTTAGCATCACCAAACTCGTACATCTGTTTCATGGTGTGCACAGCAGATCTAAACATCATGTTCTTTTTAATATGTCCAGTTAAATTAGTTTCAGTTTAAATCCTTATTTCAAGGAATGACTCATGTTTACTTATTATTACGAGTGTCTGATATTTCTATCTATCTTTCTATCTATCTACCTCTTTTAAGTCGGAGTATCAGAAGTCCTAAACGTATTTTTAAGAAGAAAAAAATCAAAAATTTCCCATCAACTAGATGAACTCCATCTACAAATATTATTATGTGATTATATGCTCCTTGAGACCTGCCAAGAGTTGTATCATTGTTTGCTGATTGCAAAGTCAAGAATAAACTGACCTCAAAAACAGATCTGGTAGGTGTTTATGTTGTTTATGTTGTTTATATGTTTATATTTCGTAAGCTCTATTTAAACTAGTTTGTGTGGTGAAAAACATTTTGATTTAGTGCTAGCATCAACTGGCCGAAGATATTACAACTAGAAAAGCTGTTGCTGGCTCTAGATGTGAAACAGCTCATAAATAAGAAAGACTTAATCTCTTCAAACTTCACAACTCTGTGAGAAAAGTCACATACCAGTACATAATGCCGCATGTTATTACTATGACAATCTTGTGTATGTAAACCAAGATTCCTGTTAAACTGACCTCTGAGCCTGTGACTTCTGCAGCGCTATGGTTTTAAAAATGTTTTATTTCCCTTGGTGCTCTTCCTAAGTATCACTTATTTTCTCCTTACTAAATAAACAAAACAACGTCTCAAGCCATTATGCCTTGGCAGTGACTCAGAGAGCAGAAATAACCCCGAGCTCAAGGTCCCATTTGGGGAGAACTGCCCTAAATACACTGAAGTTCAAATAATGGACATAATTGTTTTAACATATATCAACTGTGACTCAGCCCCACCCATCAGTACATCCTCCCTCTCAGCTAAACTTGATGATACTGATATGGTTCACACGGCTAACATTTTGAAGATTTTAAGTTCAGTGAAACTCTCAAGG